TTTTCACCAGGCACCGCGGCATAAGTTGACGACCTGCCACTCTCGGTATTCCTCAGCTCAACTGGACTGTGGTCTGCATATTTGTAACATAACACTGGTTTCCAAGCGTAACATTGCTCACCTGTAAACATGTGCTCACGATGGCGTAGTGATGCCGTGAAATTAGCACGGGCAACCGGCTGCGGATTGGCGACAACCAGGGAATAATGCTACAAACTATCGCAGGCCTGTTCGAGTGAGTTACGACGAAGTCGTGCGCCGGATGCAGGCTAAGCAAGTCAGTTCTTCGCAGAGCCCGTACCCGGATGTTGTCCGTCAGTCGAGACATACGACTCGCCACGGAGCAGCGTTGGTCGGACCTGCAATCTTCGCATCGCTCTTCCCGCCGTCTCATCCTTCTTTGACATCATATGGTTTGATTATTCCAGTTGAGAATATTGGAAGGAGCCCAAGCCAGCGTTGGGGGGAGGGAGGGGAGGGGCAACTCAACATTAGGGGCATACGGCCCCACAAATGGATACTTCTTTGTATATACCTAAAAAGTGGCATCACGAAGGAGGTAAAGGTTAACGGCGCATCTGAGACGTATTTTTCGTGCGCAGGTTATTGCCTTGAATGACCTGAATTCGCTTGAGACCAAGGCTATCATTGAGGCCGTCGATGTGCAGGGCGTGAAATGTCCGGGTTCCTGGAGACGCCACGTCGGGACATGATCTAGATTGAAGCAAAGCATGGCAATGCCTGTAGAGAAGGTTTCTGTTCATACGCTGAAGCCTGTGACTAGTGAGGACAGTTTGAATAAAGAAGCGTCCTATCTGCTGTCGTTTGAGGTTAGTCCAGATTATGTTACATATATACCAAAATGTCTTAGACACATACCACATGGTGATTTAGTTAATAGCCAGCCTTCAGCGTGGGGCAGACACTTCACAATATTCTCATGGTACCCAGGCCATGATGTGTCTTGTGACTTTTCAGACCTGAAACCAGGAAATCTGTTAGGTGCTTGTGCTGACCTGACATGATCTTGCAGTTTAAAATTGACCAAAGTATGATTAATTCTAAAAAGATGTTTAAAGATAAAAACTCACAATGTGATCAGCAACACAACTATATCTTAAGTGGTCTGCCAACTGGCATGCAGCACTTCAATCAGAATCATGGGTGTACACTAGGGTGTAACCACTGGGAGGTTGGAGACATTCACTCACCCCCATTTTTGTGGAATTGGTTTTTTGTTACCCTTCATGACTCTAGGCCTGACTTTATAAATTGTCTGATGCTGAACATGCACATCATAATAGTAGCATCCAGCAGTGTTGTGACCACAATTGCAGCACAGGCATGCAGTAAATTGGAGAGCTCTGAGTGTGGCACATGGTTGGTACCAGTTTCAGGACAGCAAGAGGCAATGTTTCAGGAAATCATGATCTGTCAAAGATAGTCGCAGTTAAAAATGCTCGAAAATATTTTTGCATTGAAATAATTTGAAAATTCAGCACAATTTAACTCAGCCTGATTTTGGTGCAGGTAAGGGTAAAATTCAGTACACTTATGCTGAGTCAGTGTTATGTGCAGTGGATACATTTTTGGAGACTGGATTGTAGAATGCAGTTCTTTCATGCCTCAAATTTCACAGATGTAGTTGTACAGGGTGTGGACAACTGACAACTCATGGGTGTGCACAACTGATTCCTCCTTAAAGTCTGTTGGTTCAGAAAATATATAAGTAGTGAAAAAAGTAAAGGAAAGTAAAAGAAGAAAAGGAAATCTCAGTAAGCATCAGTAAGCAAGCAAGCAAAGAGCAAGGAAGCGGGTAAAGGAAGTAAGTAAGTATGCAAGTAAGCCCAAGGCAAGCAAGCAAGAGAAAGCAGAATCAGTGAGCAATTAGCAGTGGCATTAGCATTAAGCAGACAAAGAGAGGGCATAAGCAGTAAGCAACAGCATAAGCAGTAAACAAGCAAAAAGAAGGCATCAGTGGAAGAAAGCCCAGAAAAAATTATGCATGACAACCACCTTTTTGTCCTCATATAGATCACCTACATGTCAGAGGCTGCCTTTAACCTTAACACATTCCTGCATGTTTTAAAGAAATTATTTTCTCTGATTATGGCACAGGTCACTCTGGATAAACCTTCTCCTGTGAAGTCTGTGTTTGGAAACATTTTCCTAAAAAGATAATATCTGTTTGGCCCATGATTGAGCAGGAAATGTGAGAGAAAGGCAGACATGCTGCTTTCATTGAGAGAAAGCCAACAGCATCCGGTTTTACAATGTCAAAACATTTTTAAAACTAAGAATTGAAAACCCTCTGGTTTCTGAGCTAGCTGCTTAGGAACTTGTGCAGCCTAATTTGTTTAGACTCTTCCAAATTCACCCTGGCTTGCATGACTATAAGAATGCTACGTGAATACTGCTAGCCTGTGGGCCATGCTATGCTCGAGACCAATATAAATATAATGGTTAGCTATTTGTGTCTGACATTTTTGCCAGCATGATTCAGCACCAGGATGATTTTTGGCGTCAACATAGTTCAGTCGGCTTTAAGCATTGTAATGCATGCAGTGCAAGACCCGACCACGAGTCAGGCTCTGTGCGACATAATACGGGAAGTTGAACATTGGTACTAGTTATGACGGAAGCAAGACCGGGAGTAGATAACTTAAGAAAAGTGCCGCAACGAAGCACGTGATTTCAAGTTAACAACATCAAATCAAGGACTGAAAGGAAATGTTCGACATTTGGAGATAGTGAAGTAAACATCAGGCTGGATGAAGGAAGCTTACTTATAATTATTGATGCGCGTAGGTGGAAAAGATCATCCTAGACAACACAGTTCCTTTATTTAGTGAATATGCTTCTCACTATGTCATTGGTGGAATTTCATAGAACATTTGGATAACGTTGTGGTGTCTTCAAAATAGCCGTGTGAAATTGCTGACCTAGCACTCTCGTGTAGTAGCCGCCGGGACACGGCAGTGACGGTGCGGAAAAAACTCGCTGAGCCAAATGTCGTGATTTGCCCGTGTTTTGGCCTTTTCTTGTGGTGTTCATCGATATTTACCCATGAGTTTAAGATGTTTTCTTGAGTCGCACACTCAGGTGGGCGCAAAATGACCATTGAAATCGACACGCCCCAAAACACCAATGAACAACACACCCGGGTATGGCGCTTTTCTTAACGAAATTACACATTGAAGGTGTCGAAGAAATCATCAAATATGATGAAATAAACTTACTTATGGCTATTGGTGTACTTTTAAGTGGAAAAGGCCGTTCTGGAAAACACAATTTCTCTGTCTAGTAAACATGCTCCTCAATGCGTTATTGTTTGATTACATCATTGTACCTTGCACAACATTTATTGAGAGCTAAGCGCCGGCCGTTTTGTCCGGAAATTGTGCTCACGAACACCAGATATGAATGAATTGACGAGTGTATTCGTCCCGGCCTTGATCGCCGTATCGTTAATGGAGTGGCATGATTTATATGACGTTCTTATGGCGTCATGGCAGCCTGGGTGACCTTGAAATAGTCTTACCGAAGGAGTATTCAGGCTCGCGGACGTGTGGTTCAGAAAATAGAGCGGCTTAGATCTTAGGGAGGGCATGGCTGTGAATTGCATCGTACGATCTTCAAGATAGCGATTTCAGGTCAAAACCCCACACAAATGTGGAACATTCCTTTTAAAGGGAGCTAAAGGAACAAACTGGGAGGTATAAAGTCTCGGTTGGGACCATGGACGGCCAGTTGCCGTAAGGTGAAGCGGGATGAAGTAGCGCTATGCCGCCTGAGAATAGCACATACATACGCGACTCACAGGTGCTTGTTATGTTGGGAAGGCCGACCACAATGTCTTTGTTGTGGGGAACGTTATGCCGTACTGCATGCGTTGATGGGTTGTACCCACCTCGCTTTGGAACACATACGTCATTTCGGACCAGGGTCCGTGCGTCAGACGCTCTCTGGTGTCTTGGTAGATGACTCGAGTTTGGTAAAGGACGGTCATGTTTTGAGTTTTAAATTGAAGCACGCTTTAAAAATCGGAATGCTCGACTCATTGCAGGATAGATGCGCAAAGCGAAGATCTTTTTTCATGCTCTGTGCCCACCCCACCCCCTCCCCACCTTCTAAATTGGGTAGACTCATGCTCGTGAATAGTATTTTATAGCATTTCATTTGATTTCAGTGATGCCACGTCGTAACATGTTTCCACTTTCCGTGGGATGAATTCCGTTTGAATTCTGTTTCATGGCCTTGCTTGCTAACCACATTCACTCTGTGAATAATACCAGTACACAATCCTGAGTTGTGCCCACATTCGATCCGGGACCGTTTGGCAGATGTGCCGATCGCGCAGCCAGCGCGACTGGTCACAGCGGCGGCGTCCTGCTGTTACAGCGGCGCCAGTCGGCCGGGCAGCTAGCAGCCTCACCGCTGCTGGTCCAGGTCCCAGCACAGCGGCTGGACGCTCTGATTGGCCAGCTGTCCAGCCTGCGCGACCAGCTGGGCGCGCTGGCGAGGCGCTCCTGAGCCGGACACGGCCGCTCGTCGGCCGACCCCACATGGCCGGCTGCTCCGAGGTCATCTGGGTCAGCCGCCCCTGGCGTCTGGGCCAGCCACACCTCAGCCGGCCGCCTCCGCGTCAGCCTGTCTGGAGTCCGTCGCTCCTGAGTTGGCCATCCTTCGTTCCTGGGCCAGCTGGGGTGACCGCTCCTGAGCCCATCTGAGGTCATCGCCCCTGAGCCAGCTGAGGTGACCGCTCCATGAGCCAGCTGAGGTGACCCTCCCAGCCTGCGTCCGAGCCGGCCGCTCCAGAGCCAGCTGAGGTGACCGCTCCTGAGCCAGCTGAGGTGACCCCCAGCCCGCGTCTGAGCCGGCCGCTCCAGAGCCAGCTGAGGTGACCGCTCCTGAGCCAGCTGAGGTGACCCCCAGCCCGCGTCTGAGCCGGCCGCTCCAGAGCCAGCTGAGGTGACCGCTCCTGAGCCAGCTGAGGTGACCCCCCAGCCCGCGTCTGAGCCGGCCGCTCCAGAGCCAGCTGAGGTGACCGCTCCTGAGCCAGCTGAGGTGACCCCCAGCCCGCGTCTGAGCCGGCCGCTCCTGAGCCAGCTGAGGTGACCGCTCCTGAGCCAGCTGAGGTCACCGTTCCTGAGCCAGCTGAGGGTGACTCCCCAGCCTGCGTCCGAGCCGGCCGCTCCCAGGGTCGCCGGTGCCATGTCGGGCCACCACCGGAAGCGCGGCCGCTGGGCGGCGGCGGCGGCGGCCGAGCCGGACCACGTGCGCCGCCAGGTGGAGGCGCTGTTTAGCCGCCGGTTCGACTTCTGCGCGGCCGAGCACGACTGGAGGCTGCCGGAGCCGGAGCACATGTTCCCTGATGACGAGTGGCAGGTGAGGCGCCCTCTCCACGCGCGGAGGACGCCGGTGGCACGTCGTGGCAGGGAGTCAGAGGTGCTGCACCACGCGGTCTGAACTGCCGCCAGAGCGTGGCTACCTGTACCTCAGTGAACAGACCTGTATTAGAGAAACGAAGTGTGTAAATGCGGATGTATTTGTGTTTCGAAAGAGGGCTTTTATTTTACGGCGATTTACAGTCCCGAGGATAACTTGGCTTTTGTGGGTGGTTCAGCCCTCTCTCTGCCCGGTTATGTATCACCTCTCACTAGTTCCTGATCTTCACCTCCAGGTGGCAGAGCTGCAGACTATGAAGCACGAGCTGAACGCCGTCAAGGCGCTGCTTAGTGACAAGGACATCTCCACCTGGCACGAGCACACATCGGCCACAAACCGGGCTGGCCTGGTGGTGCCCACAGTCAAGCGTCACATTCGGCCCGAGATGGGCACACAGGTGCGTCGCTGGGCCTCGGCTCGACCTGAGGCCGGCTCGGCTCTGCTCGAGGCCGGCCCGGCCCGGCTCCAGGCCGGCCCGGCCCGGCTCGAGGCCAGCCCGGCCCGGCTCTAGACTGGCTCGGCTCGGCTCGGCTCCGCTCTGCTCGAGGCCGACCCGGCCCTGCTCGGCTCGGCCCGGGGGTGGCGGCCATGGGACGGTTGGCTGGAAGCGCGGTCAGGACGCGGTCGGGTCCGCACTCCGAAAACGAAATGGTGACATTACGAGCTTGGAGATCACGGCCTGCAGACGTATGGGCTAGAATGGTTGTATTTTGCCTGATTCTGATTTGTAAATCACGAGCTGCAGCTGTCAGGGGTTTTAAGTCGTCTTTGGAACGTACGCCAGCGGAGCGCGTTTTAGAAGTGCGTAGGCCCACAAATGTTTTTGGGGGGTAGATTCGGTCTGGCCCGCCGCGTGAAACGCCTGAAAGTGATCTATACTTATTGCTCCTTTTTGCGGCCAAGAAATGTACTAGGTTTTCAAAAAAGGCTTGACAGTTTTTGCCATATGTTATTGAACGATCTCGTTTGTGTAGCATTGCGGCGCCAGTTTTACGTGTGTGCTCTGGCGGCCAGGCGTGGTGCAAGTTTTACGAGCTGCTGAGCCTGGGCTCTGTGCTGCCGCCGGCCTGTGCGGATGGCGGCCGGCTGGTGTCGCTGCATCTCTGCGAGGCTCCCGGCGCCTTCGTCACCGCTCTCAACCACTACTGCATCCTGAACGGTGTCGAGGAGGTCAGTACCGCCCCGTCGCTGCCGGGACCGCTGGTTGTCACGGCTTGTAAAGAGCGCTTGCGTGGTTTCTGTGTGCAGTTGGTTTGAGAGTGGTTGTCAGAAGGAGAATGCCGCATTGGTGTTCATATTTCATTCCATGACAGGTGTCATAAAATACGGTGCTTGGACTATCACATCCACATACGCAACAGAACGGCGAGGTATATGTTTTACACGGCGTTGTTTCCGTGCGCCGCGGAGACCACTCCGGCCCTGAAAACAATGAAACCGTGCCGACTCGAGAGCCCATCGGGGTCAGATCGGAAGGCGCCGGCGCGCGGCAGCGGCCGCTGCCGGATCAAGGCACAGGGTGTGGACGGCTGGTGTCGGCCGCCGCGCTTGGACGGCCGGCCGTCAGCGGTGCCGGGCGGCGTCCGCCGCCGCCACTCGGCGCTAGTTGCTGTCGCGCTCGAAGAACATGTAGCCGATGAGGAAGGTGGCGCCGAAGAGCGTTGCCTTGGTGGCCGGGTCGAGGCCGTGCGGGAAGGTGACGCCGAACGTGGAGGCGTCGGTGAACACCTCCTTGGTCATGCCGCCCCACTGCTTGGTGATGGTGCCCACCTGGCGGCTGCCGTCGGCCGACATCACGGGGAAGTCGACGTCGGCGCAACACTTGCAGACACAGCAGGGGCCGTGGATCTGCAGGCGCACCTGGCCGTCGGGACCGCGCACGCTGAAGCTCGGCTTCATCACCGACCACTCCTGCGTGACGGTGCCCATCGGCATGCCGCCGGCGCTCACCTCCAGCTCCTGCAGACAGCAGAAGCAGCAGCAGCACTGGCACCTGCCGGCGGCGGGCGCGGCGTGTCAAGCGGGCGGGCGGCGCGGCGGACGCGCGGCCCTACGGCAGGCTAGGCGAGTGTGCTCGACACGGCGGCCGGTTTGGGTGTGGCAGCGGGTCTGGCTATGTCTGGTTGGCGTGCGTCCAGCAGCTGAGTGAAAGTGGCATGCTTGTTTTTACCTTTGCATAAACAAATTTGGTGGGATAAATTTCGCCCCGGTAAAAAATGTTCTTGAGCTGTGCACATTACGCTGCGTAGTGCTGTAAGAAATAAGCTCCATTGAATGTGGTATCGATGGGGATTGCGGTGCATTATGGTTGCATCAACGCGAGACCTGTGCCGTGAGTTATTACAATGAACAGAAAATCGCCCCTCCTGAGCATTTTTAGTTTGCTAGAACAGGTGAGGTACATAGTTCTACCTTTGCACGGCTTCTGCTGCCGGGTTTACTGTAAAAGAGCATTCTGTCCATGGTTTGCTTCCACTCGCTTACCTCGTTCGGTATTCCAGTGGTGTTGTCGTCTGCCCCCCCCCCCCCCCCCCCACACACACACGCTCCTTCTCTCTGACATCTCGCTCTCTCGCCTCCCATTCCACCACGCTGTCAGACTCTGCACACCTCCACATGCCCGCCACTGCATCAGCCCGGGGCGGCCGTGGTGCCGGCCGCCGCCAGCCGCTGTGCTGCTAGGCGGACGGTCCCTTCATCGACCTCCTGCTTACTTGAGCGGCCGTTCCATGGAGAGCACCTCCACCTGCGCGGCGTCCACGACGCTCATGCGGAACGGTCGGCCGCGGCCGCAGCAGCAGCGCGTGCAGCAGCCGCTCTGTTCGGCCGCGTAGTACACCGCCTGGCCGGTGGACGTCTTGATCACGTACTTGTTGGCCGTCTCAAAGCCGGTGAACGCCTCCAGCAGTTCCATCTGGCGGCGCAGAGCGGAGCGACTGCGGCTCTGACTTGGGGCGACGCTGACGCAAGGGCTCGGACGTGCGGTGGTTGTGCTGGGACGGCGGAGAGGGCGTGGCAAGGGTTTACGACGGGGCGGCTCTGGCTTGGGTCGTGCGACGCTGACGCAAGATTCTGACGCAGGGCTTCAGTATGGGGTAGTTGTGGCTGGCATCTGAGAGAGGCCGAGAAGGAAGATGACAAGGCGACTTGGGCTCGGGGGCAAAAGACTCGTCCGGTAGGATGTTGGCACTACGGTCCCGTCTGGCTTCCGGCGACTCAGAGAGCCTGGATGCCGACCCACTCCAGCGCAGGACCTTTGCAAACCCGGGCTACGACGGGGCTGGGCAACATCTGTCAGTTCAGTGCTATCACATACGCGCACTAGTTTCCATTAGGTGGTTCACAACTGTCCAGTCGGTTTTGGAACGGCGCCGCGGCCCACCCTCCGCCCGTTACCGGGGCTGCTCTGGTCACACAACCAAAGATGAGCACGAGGCTTCGTATGCCCTCGACCAGCAGCGGAGCGGTCCACCCAGGGACTCTGGCGCCATGTAGGCACGCGACGGGGTCACCGCGAAGCTGACCTTTTGTTGGACCACGAGCTGGTCGGCATAGGCCAGCGCCTCCAGACCTGAAATCGACATGTTTGGTGTTGTCACAGATGCAAGCAGCATGTGGCGTCATCAGCAGCATGTGACGCGATTGTGGCGTCATCAGCAGCACGTGACGCGATTCAACGCTTCGTGCGTTTGGGCTGCGTCGACGCTTGAGTGCGTTTCGGCTGAGAAATGATTGTGATGCATTCGAAGAGCCTGTTGCATTGGTCTATTCTACGCGGAACTCTTGGTCCCATGGGAGCGGAGCTTGTTCCACAAGTGCTGCGAATGCGAGCAGGTCACCATGGCAGGCGTTGTGACGATCGTATGGGGGCGGAGCTTGTTCCACAAATGTTGCAAGCAGGTCACCATGGCAAGCGTCGCGGCGACTGAACGGCCGTTTGCTTTTCATTATGCCGGGCGTCGCCCGTGGCTCCGTTGCCAACGTTACTGACTGGTAGTTCGGCATGTCTCGCTGTTTGCAGGTAATTGAGCTCCTGTCAGTGAGTATCGCACATCTAAAAAGAACTCGAAAGCTCAAAACAGTAGCAAGATGATAGAGCTTCACCTGCAGAAGTGTCCAGCAGCACAGAAGAACGCTCTCACCCTTCTGTTCACGGGAAATAAAAGCGACACTGGAAGGCTAGGCAGATGTAGGGTATCGTCCTTCACTCAGCTCATACTTTACACTGGACACCAGCCTGTCCTCGACACCACAGGTGTAGGAGCAGGGGCGGGGGGGGGGGAGGCGGGGAGGAGCGAAGACCACTGACCTCGTGGCCAGCCGGGCGCCGTGGTCTGGAGCGTGCCCTGTTGGGCGACCAGCATTGGCTGTCCGCCGGCCATCACCAGCCCGAGCGGCTGCGGCTGCTGCATGGTCGGAGCCGGCCCCACCTGTGACGGCACCATCATCGCTGCGAGCCGTCCGAAACGTTCGCACGGTCCGCTCCGTCCGCCGCTCCTGAGTCGTCCGTTCCGCTCGTTTCGTTTGTTCTGTTAGCTCCTCACGTTCCGTCAGCAGCTGCGCCCGTCCGCTCCGCCCGTCCGCTCCGCCCGGGCCGCCGAGTACGACTGCCGTTGCCCGCTGCCTGGGTAACGGCGGCCCGGTATTGACGTTATATCGAGGAGGCGGCGTCGCCGTGTGGTCATTGTGGTGGCCCGGCAGTCACCAACTAACGGTGTCATTGGGGCTTTCTACGCCTTCAGTAGCTGGGATTATGGTGTCTCTCGCTTACCTCTCACTCTGGCGGAAAGGACGGGAACCGCGCAGAATCGAACCCCGTACCCCCGGTTGCCCAGACTCGCAGGTGAACCGCTAAAAAAAAAACGCCACGAGCGCCCCGTCCGGCCAGCGCGGCGTGTTCCATGATCGGGGCGAAGGAGGGTTACGGCCCGGTGGCGACCGTCATGTGTGCGTAATGGCCAGCATGTGCACTCTGAGCACTTCGCCCTGATCCGATTGTCATTTGACCATTCCTCCTGAGATACAGACCGGGCGTGTATTTACACTGAACAAGCGCAGGTACTCGGAACAGGTGGATCGATGTGTGCTGACGTCGACTCCGCGCTGACGGAACGCGTGCTCCACACCCATTTGCGGACTCACGTGGCTGTTGGCAGTTAATTTGCCCTACATTTACCCGTATCGCGTAAGATTTGTGTTCTGGGGCCAGTTTTATAATAAAAATTTATCACCGCTCCTTGCCAAAAAAAAATAACTCAACCAAAAAAAATTCCGCCGCTTACGGAGTTTTATTAACGGTCCTGCCACCCAACATTAATTTCTCTGATGAAGGCTTTTCTAAACGCAGTCAGCTGTTGCCTGTCAGAAGTGCCATATGCTATCGTATCGCAAACAAACATTTGTTTATTTTTGCGACGGTCGATTATGCTCATTGAGAACGACAAATAGTTTTGTTACTTCTTAAGTGAATACTTAACCACAAGCATGCCACAAGTAATTCAATGAAAACATTGACGTGCATACTTTGAATAAATTACCCAGTTATTATATCATTGGCGAAATATTGCACACAAAATTAGGGGAATGGCGTTTGAATTATGGTACCATGTGATCAGGCACCTATCCACTACCATTGACTGAAATCCCATGGCATATGCCCCCCGCCCCCTTGTCCGATCCATCTCCTGGTTTAATGACGCCGCTTGCAGCCCCGCGTATGAATATTTCACTGTTTGGCGCATGCGTGCACGGTACCTACCTACCAAGGAATACACCTGGGTATCCCATCCTCCCCTGATCTCCCCATAACCAACTTACCCTGGTGGCAGAGAAATTGAAAGAAGGTCGTAGAATCTAAGCAAATGGGTGTAGTGGGATGTAGAATACAGGCAGGCGGGTAGGCTTCTGTCCAGGCACACAACCAGGTACAGTTACGCATGTCTTCACTCGAAGCAACGCGAGGCCGTTGGTGTCGGTCTGCCTAGGCGTCCATTATCACGTTCTAAGGAGCTCAGGGTTTTACTGTGGCGAATATTTCCTATTTTTACAACAGTTCAAACCTGACAAGCGTATTATTCCTTTTGTTCGCTTCCATCCTTTTCAGCCCAAATTTTAGCCCGCATTTATCCGTTGCCAATCACAACCCTCAGCTGCAACCCCGCCGCCAAAAC